GGGCCCGGAAAGGGTCGACGGACTCATACGGCTCATTTTACCGAGGCCGACGATGGCTTTGGCTCCGGCGAGGAGGACGGCGACCACTACGAGGAGGACGACGGCATCCCTGAAGAAGTGGCGGTCGCTTACGCCACATATCAGACCGCGAAGCAGAGATACAAGGAACATCAGAAGGCGCGGGGCTTCAACAGTGGAGGCCATGACAACAGGGCGGAGGCGACCGTCAACGGCAAGAACAACGAGAAGGCCACCGACAAGATAAAGTTGATGAAAGCAAAATCATTTTGCTCAGGATGCGGAAGACGGGGTCATTGGCACAAGGACCCCGAATGCCCACACAACCAGGGATCACAGATGCAAGGCGGTGGGAAAGCGGCCGAGGTCGGCTTCTGCAACCTTCTCCCGGCAGAAGTCTTCTCCATCAAGCACGAGAACACCGGCCTTGTGGGTATAACCGACACGGCCTGTGCCAGGACGGTTGCCGGAACTCAGTGGTTGCAGGCCTACTCCGATAAGCTTTCCACCCTGGGAGGGAGACCGGAACTTCGGAGAGAATGCGAGGCTTACCGCTTCGGGACAGGGAAGATCTACTACTCTTCCTTCTACGTGGTCTTGGCATTCGAGCTCGGCAACAAGGTTGTTCATGTCAGGACTTCGATCATCAATGGTGATGTCCCGCTCTTGCTCTCCAAGACCGTGCTGGGGAAGCTCGGGATGGTCTTCGACATTGAGAGGGGCCAAGCTGACTTTAGCAAGGTTGGACTCAAAGGGTTCGACCTTCTTGTTACTTCCTCAGGTCACCCAGCAATTCCCATCATCCCTTCCAAGATGGACGGTGACCCAAGTATGTTCCGCGCTGAGGACTTGAAGCTTGTGCCCAAGTGTGAATACATGGCGTTCGCTGTTGCTCACGGTTCAGGTCACGTAAAGAACCCCGACATATATAACTTCTTCTATGACAAGAAGCTAGACCCCGGAGTCAAAGCCATGCTTGTTCAAGAAAAGTTGTCGCAAGAAGAGTTCATAGCCTGGTGGAGGAGCAGCTCGGGTTCTTCAGACTTCTGGTTAGAGTGCGACAATGCTTGGGTAAGAGTCCATGTCACACCTCGAAAGGCCCTTTTCAATCCCTCTACTTGGAAAACACGTGCCACAGTTCAGAAGGAGATGCTTGTGCAGACGGCAGGTGAGATCAGGATCACAGATGGTGTGTGTTGCACTACAGGTAGGTGGCTTGAATCTGTTGTGGATAGATGGGAGCATGACAAGATCTATGAGCCGGCTTTTGCTTTTCACTGGGTCGGAAGGACTTGGATTAGCAAGCGCCAATCCCCTAGTTTGCCTCAGCACGCCTTCGATTATGGAGCAAGGACCATGCAAGCCTCGCCCCATCAACCACATGACGAAGACACAGCTTCTCGAGGAAGCCGGGCGCTTGGGCGTTCTGGTCCATCACTCCTGGAGTGCGATAGAGATCAAGGCCGTGATCATGGAAGCGCGCGAGGCCCAGAAGGAGAGGGACCCCACAGAGCGGATGAAGAGAATTTCGCACATGACGCTGTCCGAGCTGCGCATGAAGGCGAACGAGCTCGGCATCGACTACAGCAACAGCACGACCAAAGGCAATCTTCTCCGCCTGATAAGAGACAGTCTCAACACCCCAGATCAAGAACTGATGAAGTTCGGGAAATTTCGGGGATATCAGTTCTGCGAGATTCCGAAGAGCTACGGAGAGTGGGTCCTCAGGGAGATGTCCACCTCGGAGAGCCCCGACCCGGAGTTCGTGAGGTTCGGACGGTGGTTCAGGCAGAAGCAGACCGAGAACGAGAACCAGGGGTACGTGAGCAAGGACACCCCGCCACCGTATCCGAGCTCGACGGCGGCCACCCGGAAGACAAGCCCAACCTCCTTGGCGTCGGGCAAGGACTCCTGGGACATGGTGACGGACAAGGCCAGTGCATCCTCGACAACCAGTACGAGAAGGAGAACGCGCCACGACATCGAGGAGGACAAGAAGATGGACTCCGAGATCGATCCCAAGGTGGCGGCGGAGATCGAGGATTTGGAGACAAAGCTGGCAGTCCTGAAGGACAAGGCCCGCGTTGCAAAGGGGAAGTGAGTGAACAGGTTCCCCGTGGCCGTGTGGAGGACGTCGGACATGGGGAAGAAAAAGGGAAGGTCCTCACTGCAAGACCTCAAGGTGGAGAGCATCCCGTGGTTCATGGGTTTGGCGGCCGTAAGTGCTGCCCGGAGCTGAGCCATGACTGCTTCTTCACCGAAGAGGAGTTCTCTAACGCCTACAAGAATCGAAACGAGATCTGCGAGATCGACTTCGAGGGCGGCAACCGCATCGAGGTCGAGGACAACGAGGACGTCGACCTCTTCCACGAGGCCATGGAGGGCGAGGACGACATCGAGGTGTTCGAGTGCAAGGAGTTCTCGATCGAGGATCGCATAACTTTCGCCTATGACTCCGGCGATTTCTCCTTCGCGACATGCAAAGAGATCCTTGATGAGGGCTGTGAGGAGGCTCTGAAAGGCGGAGGAGAGAGGAAGCGAGTTTTCCACGAGGCTTCCGGTCAAGTGGCTTTTGGCTACTACGTGCACGGTGGGATGAATGGCGTCACCAAATCGGTGGTCAATCATACCGTCCTTGCACGCTACCTCAACGCCTTCATTCGAGCACACGTTGGAGAACATGCTACATGGGGAGCCGTCAGCGTCATCAAAGGAGGTGCAGGAAAGGTGCACCACGACTACAACAACGCGGCCGGGTCCACCAACTACTTTGCCTCCTTCGGACAAGGTCCCGGAGGAAAACTTTGGGTTCATGATGACAGCATCATTGAGGCAGACATCAAGGAAGACAAACACGGAGACATCGTCTGGAAGCAGACAGGGTCTGGCGAATGGCTACCGGGACGGACGGTCGATGCCAACGAGAAGTTCGTCGAGTTCGACCCCCACACAAAGCACCAGGCCATCAATGTCGACAGCGAAGCATGGCGAGTAGTGGCCTACACCCCTCGAGGCACTGAGGACGCAAAGCCAGACATCGTCAAGTTCCTCAAGAACTGTGGTTTTCCCCTCCCTGGGAGAAAGCGAGGAGGGAGAGCTGCGACTTGTGCTAAGCCTTCTAAAAGGCAGAGGAACTCCATCACAAATGTCGTCGGCAAGCTCAGTGTTCTCTTCACAACTTTGTTGACGGCAGCGAACTCCTTCCTCGGGGAATGTACCCAGACCGGAGTCATCAACGACCCTATCGTGATCCTTGAGATTGGCGGCCTGGACGCGACCCTTGATGCCACGGAGCTCGACAAGGCAGTTCTGGAACCGCTTTCATGGGAGGACTACGGCGATCCCGGCACGAGAAACCGCACCCTCCACCTGGTGAAGGCCGTTACTCCTCGACACCTACATCTTCATCTTGAGCAAGCTCCCGCTCAGGTACACGGCGATCTCAAAGAACTTGTTCGAGAGCAGCTTAATGGAGGCGGAGCAGTTCTGCTTCAAGGGGGAGATCCTGGACTGGTGGTCGAGGACACCGAGCACTACATTCGCTACAAAAAGAACCACGAGGGCGAGGAATGGACGGTGCTTGCAAGGCCGGGGACAAGGAGCTTAGAGCTCCCTACAAGTCTCGATCCACACCATGTCCTCGTTGTTAGCGAAGACAGCGAGAAGAAGGACGAGCTCCCACTGCGAATCGATGGCTCTGGTATCACCTTCGAGGAGGGCGTCCCCGGACATGTCCGATCCGCTCTGAAGAGGCTTCATCAGAATCTCGGGCACCCGAGAGGCGCAGATTTAGTGCGTCACCTCCGCCTGGCTGGTTGCGAGTCCTCGGTGATAAAGGCGGCAAAGGGGATGAAATGCCAGATTTGCGATGCCACCAAGGAGCCACAGGTCGCGCGGCCCGCCTCCCTACCGAGGATGCTGAGCTTCGGCGAGGTTGTCTGCGCCGACATCCTCTATGCCCACGACTGCGAGGACAAGAGGCATACTTTCCT